GTGAAGAAGAAAGACCTAACACAACTAGCTGAGTTCAAAGAGAATTTGCTCTAAGTATTCATTTTTCTGGAGTGAGGGCACAATATGCCTGTTTAATTAAGAAAACCATCCTTTTATCTCAGGACTTTTTCTGTTTTCATTTTTTAAGCAGTGCTGTGTACTGAACCCTGGGGTAGGACACCTTACGGCTGAGCTCCAGTGCTGTGTGTGCCATGACTCCACGCAAACCCGCTCCGGCACCTCGGGGTCCTCCCCACTGCTTCTTCACAGTTGCATTCCTGGGGGGGGAAGCTGGCATTTCAGTCAACCCAAATAGCTTTCTTTTAGGTGTCCTTCTTTTGCTGATTACGTTGATGCAAGAAGCTAACTTACCTCTCATGCTTAATATGCTCAATACATTGATTCTCTCGGCAGGAATCATCCTTTTAGTTGCTTGTTTGTAACAATGATAACAGCATGGTAACACTAGATTCTTCCGGTTTTCTGTAGCATTGTTTCGAACTTATGTCTACAGTACATCCATCCCCTCGATGTCTACAATATTACCCTTTTCGTAGATTCATATATAAGTAGCCAAAGGAAGAACCTCATGTTTTCTAAAGGCCTAGAGAACATATACCAGCTTCTCTCTGCATTTGTGTGTGTCATATTGGCAAATTACTGGAAGATAAGGTTCTGGCTGAAAAGGTTAAAGCATGAAGTTTCAGTGCCGTGTCCAAGGTTGCTTACTTGAGGTACAACCAGAATTCAAGCAGGAAGTCTAAATTTAGAGCTAGTACCCTGAATCACTATACTAGATTTTGTCACTGATAGAAATATTTTCAGGGGCTGGAGAGATGGCTCAGTGGTCTAAAGCACCTACTTGGAACAAGCTTGGCAAAGCACAGGGACCGCAGTTCGATCCTCCAGCACCACATGCCAGCCAGCCGCGCCCCCTGGTGGGCTGAGCTGGCCACACACACACACACACACACACACACACACACACACTAAATAAATGTTAAAAAAATAAAAATAAAAAAAATATTTTCAAAGTACTACAGAAGGAAGTAGTACTGATTTTAGGAATTCTACACTCCAAAAGTACAGTACCTAGATAAAAATTCAGTTGCTGTGGAACCAAGTTAGAGTAGACAGTAGTAGTCACATGCAGCAAGATAAGGAATTCTTGAGCTTTAACTCGTCTTTTCAATTTTAATCTTTTACATCAGAGATGTAGAAGGACCAAAAGCTTTATATAAACTAAATAAAGACCCTATCCATATTTTTTTCTTTTGAGACAGGGTCTTGCTGTGCAATGCAGGCTGGCCTTGAGTTCACTATGTAGAGCAGGCTGGCCTGTAACTTATGAGGCTCCTCCTGCCTCAGCCCGAGTGCTGGGGTTACATGCATACACCACCACATCCAGTCCCTATCCATACTTAACTATTTGAGGGTGCTAACAATTCAGACAAGCAACAGAAGTCAAAGAATTTAGGTTTGCACCTTTCTCCTTTTGGCTGTAGAATACTAAATATCTACATCAGTATATTATGTACTAATAAATAAAGTTTGGGGCTGGGGATTTAGCAAATGGTGCAGCAAATGCCTGGGAAGTGTGAGGACCTGAGTTCAATTCTCAGTCTCCCTCTCAAAGAAAGAAAAAAATTTTATTAAAGTATGACACACTCTGGAGTGCATTTTATAACTTAAACCAAGGTTTAAATTACTTTCTGTGGATTTTTAATGTATTCCTTTAAAAAAATCCCCAAACCCTTCACTGCCTTAGGTTTCACAGAAGCTTAGGGGAGTAACCGTTACATACATAGTATCTAATGTTAACACACTTCTCCCTTTTCCATCCCTCCCTGCTGAGACATGGCAGAAAGCCAAAGCCCCCCAGACACAGTAGCAACGGCGTCATTTAATTCAATGGAAACAGCCTATGAATGAACTGTGACGAAGTTCCCGGAATGTTAAACTTCCATGTCTGTCCTCTACTTGAGGCCAGAAATACTGAGTTGATTCATGTAATTTTAAAACTAAACTTACCTGTCTTTTATAGTAAAAAAAAAAAAAAAAAGCTTCTGCAATAATAAGCAAGAGCAGTATAAGCTGGGCAGGGGCTTATTTGCATTTTGGCAGCAGGAAGGTCATACAGCCAGCTAAAGGTAAGGATATAACCTGCAGGTGGCAGAGGCAGAAACTGAAGCCACATTTTCTAACATCTTTCAGGGAAAAAAGGGCCACGAAGGGACCATCACACACACGACTGTTTTTGTTACTTTTAGCCCCCAACTCCATGGCCTCTCGGTGTCACCCTGGCTTATGCACATGGAACTTAGGAAGAAAGTCAATGCAGACCTTTCAATGACCTTGCAGTCACCTGGGACCCATTCAGGAAGCAGAGTATGTCCCAAAGCACAGTGGAACAAGGTTGGCTTAGCACCTGGCCCTGCGCTGGAGGCTTTCAGAACCGAGTATGTTGCGAGCATCTCAGTATAGAAACTTAGAGCAGCCATGGGTAGAAATGCCCCTCCTGCAGAGCAGTCTGCCTCCCCTGGGGCCAAGGCATGGAAGAACACACAGGGGATGCGTGCTGTGCTCCTCCTAGCATGCGCACAGCACAGCTAACAGAGATCCAGGAGGGTGGACCTTGCTCCTGGCCTGGTTTCTGTAAGTGTTTAGTAAAAGCAGGATTTCTAGCTTTGAACTGTGGTGTCTTCACTATTAATAAGCACTCGAGTTGTTCCGAAACACAGATGCCTGACAGATTACTAAGCATATATGCTTTCATTATTAAAGCCCTAATCCTCTTGACCAACTCTCCAATAACTGAAGTTCAAAGTAAGAAATGTAAGAAAAAGAAGCAAGGCAGCAGTGGCCTGTAAGAATCACCACTGGAGGCTTCTCTATCTGGGGCAGTGCAAGGTGTACCATTCCTTGAAACCTATTAGTATCCTTGTCCAAAGCTGCTGGAAGCCCGGGGTATCAGATTTCAGTCTTCGAATTTATTTGCAGCAGTATCTTTTTCTTTTGAGATGGGATCTCACTATGCAGTTCAGGTTGGACCTGAGCTCACTCTGTAGCCCAGGCTGGTCTTCAACTTGCAGCAAGCCTCCTGCCTCAGCTTCCCACATGTTGCACTTCCAGGTGTGTGCCGCCATGCCTGGCCTAGCAGTGTCTTTCTTGATGGCCAGGCCCCACTTCTTAAAAATACCTTAGACTCCTCACCATGGCTCTTCCCTAAATTTCTGCAGCACAGAGGGAAAGGGTCTTCCTGTGGAAATAGCCATACTTAATAAAAATACTTTCTCAGTCTATGTTCAGTCACTTGAGAATAGTTTATTTTGATACCACTGTGTCTCATAACAATTAAAAACGCTTAACTTTCTAAAGTATCTTCCATAACTGGAAGACACTTACACAAATTGTTTTAAATACATACCATGAATTGTTTTAAAAAAATATCTTGCACATTTGCAACCATTATTTGTAAATCCTTGTAAAATTCTGTAAAGCTTGGAAAAGGCAAATATCACATCCAAGACAAACTCTAGGGGGCAAGGCAGTGTCATCTTTGAATGGCTGCTCCCGGCACCCCATCCAAAGCCCAGCACATACAAGGCATTCAGTAAGCATCTGTTAGGTAATGTTTCCATCTTGGTAGGGAGGATCCCCAGAGGACAGCAGTCAGCAAAGCGTTATTCTCAAACTAAGAGGAAAATCTGACTTCTGAGCTGCCTTGGGGGAAGCAGCTGATCATCAGGGAGCTTGTACAAACCAGAAGGGACAGACTTTGTGTGGCCTGAAATTTAGAAAAGCATCCTACAAAACTGTCTTCTGAATGACGACTTCATGTGACACCCACATGCTGGCTTGCAATGTCACAATTTTTTTTTTTTTTTTTTTTGCGGTAAGGGGATTGAACTCAAGACCCTGCACTTACCAGGAAGACACTTATTCTACTGAGCTATCTCCCTGTCATAGATGTTCTTCCCTAAGAGACGCAAGAAGCCGTCAGAGGCCAGTGTTCATGTTTTGACTATATTCCAGTGATCTTCAGAATGGACAAATGGGTTACAAAACCAAAGAGAATTTATGAATACACACACTTGTAAGAACAAAGCTAGAACGGGTTGAAACTTACAGAAATGCTAAGTAGATCTGTGGGAATTTTCAGATCAGAATTTAAATGAAGTCTAGGTCTACAACTTGGGGCCAGAGGCTGAAGGGAAGGGGCACAGGCAGATGAGAAATGCTGTTTATTTCTGTCCTCTCCACTGAGAAGCCGGGAATGTTCATGGTGTACCGAGCACAGGATGCTGGGCGGGCCATTCTGTATCACGATTTTCACAAAGGAGGTAAAAATCCCTGCCATTACTCAAGGTGATAAAACTAAGACAAGGGCAGTTCATGACTTGTCTGAACTTACTATTAAGCAGAATGAAGGCCCAAATTCAAGTTTGACTTAAAGTCTTTCCACCTCACTATCTACCAAAAAATAGCCAAGTGGATGCTGGTGATTGGGAAGATCTCCTGACAAGACCTTGGTAAACACTCGAGTGCTGAAAATCTATCACCAGATCAGGCAGGCCAGAGCCTTGAGATCAGTATGTGACCTTGAAGGAACCATCGTAACAACAGGTGGGTGATGGGCAAAGGCCATTCTCACTATAAAAAGTGAGACTAAGAAGGGGTACACTCCAGTCAAACCTCCTTGCGTTGTCATTATGAGATGCTGCCCAGTGCCTTGCATGGGCTAAAGAAGTGACAGGATACCCTCAGCAGACAGCTGTTGTCAAGTGGATGCAGGACCAACACCTTTTTCTGAATTAGTCTAAGGAGGAAGAAATTTCTCAGATAAAAGGATGTATGTAGATGGGGGGGGGTACATGTCTATAATCTTCTCAATGGGGAAGCTGAGACAAGAGGATTGCCATGAGTTCAAGGCCAGCCTGAACTACAAAACAAGACCATGCCTCAAAAAAAAAAAAAAAAAAAAAAAAAAAGTATGCAAAAATACAGGCTGACTTGAGAGAGATGTGCTCTCTGACTCCCTAACTCCTACTGACTCAGAACCGCACACCACAACCCTTGCTTGTTATGGTGGCTCTATCACACTTACACGATAGATGCTCTCAATTCCTCTAGAAATTAACCACCAACAACCACATTACAGTGAGTAAACAAATTCCACACTCCAAGTGGAGTTACAGATAATCTTATACAGCACACTGAACCAGAAACTACACACATCTGCATCACTTTCTCCCAACAAAATGCAAAGTACTAAACTTACTTAATGGCTGCTTTTGTAATTTCAAATTGCTCAAAATTGGCAAACACAAGATTAGCACCTACACTACCTGCTCTAGTTTGGTTAAGTATCTCCCAGAGTGCCCCTGTTAGACACTTGGCTCCAGCCTGTGGTGTTGCTGGAAGCCATGGACTCCAGAGGTGGGGCCTAGGAAGGGGTGTGTCTTCATGTAACTGGGAGGGACCCTTCCACAGGGATGACAAGAGCCCATTTCTGTTTTGCTGTTTGGCCATGAGACAGATGATTGGCTTTACCATGAGCTTCTGGCACAAGCCCCAAACATTAAGGACAACAGACCATGGACTGAACTTCCCAAACGGTGAGTTGAAGAAAACTTTTATCTCCATCTCTGTTATCCGATATAGTAACGCATTCCCCTAATTTTAGACTTCCTAAATCAGTGTCAGCACAATGCAAGTTATACATCATAGTATCAACTTTACGAATTCTCTTGGCACAGACAGAACAAGTAATCACGAAAAGGTGATACAGCTGACTTAGAATTTCCTTTCTTACACTGTAGTCAGTACACTGCAGCATTCTCTCCCTACAGTGATGGAGGTGCCCTCCAAGAATCTGACATGATGGCTGCCCTGGCCTGGGGACAAGGAGAGCCAGTGGATATGCAGAGAGGCAGTGGTACTTACCAGGACCAGCTCCCGGGTTCTGACTTTGATGCAACCAAAACCCAAAAAGCATGCATCCTAACACACAGTACCAACAGGAGAAATCATGACATAAATATATTTCTTATGCAAAACAAATGAATACATAATACAGAGTGATGAAAACTGAAGTTTCTTTCTGGCGTACCAGCACGATCTGCAGTTTTAACAGGAGTCAGCATCACATCGAACACTTGCGATGCTATGAAAACCATGGCGAAGACAGGATGGAAAGTATAGATTTTGGCGGAAACCTGCATGTGGGGAAGACTGACATTAAAAAATGAAAACAGGAATGGCAGAAGTGTACTTTTTTATGTTCTAAAATGAAGGCCCAAAATATGGTTTGAAGTAGCCATTGTAGGGGTTGGATTACTTTTCCTTTGCTGAGGACAGCAGACCAGGGACTGAACTTCCCAAACTGTGAGTCAGAGAAAACTTTATCTTTAGCTCCGTCATCCAAGCAATGGTCAGGCCTCCTCCCGCAACAGCACACAGACACAGTGACAGGACTATTCTTAGTACAGAATAAACGACTTTCAAGAAATTAAATTAACTTTAAACTACCAATAAATATTTTTTTTGAAAAGGTAGCATCGTCATCCTATAATCCTGGGCATAACATATATACCAATTTAAAAAGTAAAGTTCTCCCACAATAACTACAAGTGTTAATGCAACAAGCTATGAAATGAAATTACTTTAATGTATTTTAGGAAAACTCCTAGCAACCAAATATGAATTTTAAGTTGGCATTTTCTACAACTGTACATATCCCAATGTAAAGGACTAATACTTTCTTACAGAATATAATTCAAACAACTGTTGGCATTTCAATATACTCCTAAGAAAATGGTAAAAACAAACATTTAGCACACCAGATCTGAAACAGTTTATAATTCTGATTTACGGCATGAGAGGCAATCAACTTCTTCCTAAAACCAGGACCAGTGATGAAATATACTTCAAAAACAGAACATTTGGACTGACGATCCCTAACATTGGTTAAACATGGTCTGTTTGCTACTGATGGTAATTATTAAATCCAATGTGCAAAAAAAGTGCAACTATCTGCTTTTTGTTGAAATACGTTAAGACAAACACTCTTTATACACCTAAAAGATTTTAAATTTATTTAAGTATATTGCATCTCCTTTGTGAATAAATCAGGTGCTGCAGGGAGCCCAGAAGCTTCATGCCCTTCTGCTATACTAATGGGACTGAAGAAGCAGATCAGTCTCCTCTCTTAATCTTGATCCTAAATGCAAATCTCATGTCAAAAATCAATTTAAAATTATTTTGACCTAGGAAATCCTGGAACTGCTGCACATCAGCCCTATCTTGAGGGCCTTTCCAATCCTCCCCTCTGCAGGTCCACACAGCAAATCCCTGCCCGTGCATTTGGCAAATCCCAACTATGTGGAGCCTCAGAATTCAGCCGCCACCACCAGCATCCTGGTAGGTTTGTTCAGCCTCCTGCACTTGTGACTACAGCTTTGGGGGAGCAATCAAAACAGATGAAACACTTCAGCAAAGCAACTATTATTTGTCCACAAAAAAAAAAAAAACCAGCGAAAAACAGTGATATAAAAAATTAACAAACCAAATACAAATCTAATACCATTCTGTATTTCCAGAACTTGGTTTCCCACTGCGCAGTGTTCTTGGTCAACCACCCACTGCCGTGTTCTGCATGTGTAGGAGTACATTTATTAAATTATTAAAACTGCTGCTTTGGCCGGAAGTCCCATGTAACTGCAATGATCAGGAAATCAAGTGATTCAATTATTACTCTGCACTGTACTCAGCATGGTGAGTGCAGAGGAATTAAAAATGGAATAGAAGTCTCTTGCTTCAAAACTGGACATAGGAATCCTCAAATTAAAAATCTTAAGAGGGGGGAGGGGAGTTTCCTGGCCACAGGAATAGACACTGGACAGGACAGCGCCACTATTTGGTCACAACTTAGAAAGTCTCCTTGAAAAGTTGCCAATACACTTATCCAACCACTGCTTCCCACGCTGCACGTTTCCACAAAAGCAGCACCAGCAGCCCTCGGCTCAGTCTCTGCTCTGGGCCCGTGGTCCCCTAGCTGCAGGCAATGGTTTCCAGCTGCTGCTCGGCCTCTGCGGCCATGGCCGCCGCCTGCAGCTGCTCCGTCTCACTCTGCATGGCGCTGGGGGTGACCTGTTTCCTCTCACTGTGCATGTTGTTCTCGTGCCGCTTCAGATCCGAGGCCTTGGCGAACGCCTTGGTGCAGGAGCCACACACAAAGGGCTTCTCCCCTCGGTGCCTCCTTTCGTGGTCCTTGAGGTGGGACTTGTGCTTGAAGGCTTTGTCACACATGTGGCATGCGAAGGGCCGCTCATTGCTGTGCACCCTCTCGTGCTTCTTCAGGTCTGGGGCGCGGATGAACGATTTGCCGCACACCTCGCAGCTGTAGGGTTTGTAGCCCGTGTGGATCTTGAGGTGCTCCTTCAGGTGGGCCTGCGTGGTGAAGCCCTTGGTGCACATCTCGCACACAAACGGCCGGTCCGCCGTATGCAGCTTCTCGTGCTTCCGCAGGCGGCCCTCGTCAGAGAAGGTCTTCCCGCAGGCCTGGCAAACGATCTGCTCCCGGTGGTGGCCGTACAGCAGGTACTCGAACTTCATGTCACTGGTGGCCGTGGTCCAGCCCGGGGTCTGTTCATCTTTGACCTCACTCATGCCATCGTTAAACGTTAAGGCTTGAGGGGTCTGCGACCCCAAATCTTTGGACTCTGGGGTCTCCATGGACTCTACCTCCTGGCCGTAGCAATTGACTTTCCGCACCTCTTCACTCCCGAGCTCCTTCAGAATCGCCTCCTGAACCCTGAGCATGGTCGTGGGTGACTTGCCGTCTTCCTGACTCGGGGGAGTGCCCTCTACTGTGTCATCAGAAAGGCTGTCATCCTGATCCCCAATTTCTTCTACATCATCATCTTGAGTGTCCGTGGCATCCCCAATGGGGCGATTGATTTTGAGGCAATACTTACTTTTGGACTGACCGTTACTTTCATCGGGACTGGACACGTCACGCTTCTGAGAACAGAGTTTATCCAAAAATCGGATGCCAAGAATCTGGCCAGAAGACATCATTAAGTTAACATCTTCCTTCTTCACAGAAATTTTCGCCGTGTACATGTAGTTCAGGACCTCTTCAAATATATCAGAACGGAGAAAATCTATCTCTATTACTGAAGAACTATCTACCTCGAGCTTCTTGAAAAGCTTTTTAAAGTAGGTGCTGCAGACGACAAGAACACATCTGTGTGCTCTGAATTTTACATCTTCAACCACAATAGCAATATCGCAAAATTCTCCCTCCAGGCATTGTTCATTTAGCGTTTTCAGAAACAGAGTTTTATGATCATCGTCATTATACTTAATGGTTTCAGACATACTGATGAAAAACTCCTACAAAAAATTTTATTAAAAAAGGTTTAGTGATTAAGAGTAATTTTTTTTTCCACACAAGTAGATGTTCATTTCAAGATCAAAAAGTCAATGTTAAGAGCAGTCCAAAAATTGAGTAGAAAAAACTGATCCCTACTGCGGGGCTTGCATACTGTTTACCTTCACTTTCTTAAGTATTTGCCTAGTAATAATCATACTACTACGACTCGTCTCTTTTATCAAACACATGACATGCATTATTCTAGATGCTTCATATATCTTAATTATTTCCATATCTAAATGATCTTACAAGGCAGGTTGGTCAGAAACTTGCCAATGTTATATAGCTCCTTAGTTGAGGTGAGACTAACCCAGGCATCACGGGGAGGCGACTCATGGTTCCAGACAACAAAGACAAGCCAGTCAGCAGCAGCATTAAAGAAAGAGGGTGGAGACAAGGACCCCAGTCCTGTCTACAGCATCTGCTCTGACCCCCACATAGCAAACTCAGTAGAACAGCAGTGCCCCGTGTTAACCACTGTTACCAACAGCAGGGGCAGCACTGCCAGCCCACTGGCTCGGTGCTGTCCTCTCACTTTCCCACAGCAGTTTTGGGTCACTTCTAACTGGGGACCTATGAGAATCAGATGATATTTAGGAAGAGAACAAGGAGTAGCTTTGTTCTCCCTGGACACCAGTCTTACCCCTTTTGGTGTCATTAACACTGGCGGTGCAGGTCTAGGGTCCTTATGAAATGCTTGGCACCAGGAATGCTTGGGATTTGGGGATACTTGCTCACATATAATATCAGATATTTCATGTCTAAACATGAAATTTATTTATGTTTCAAGTGGAATTTTCTACTGATTGTATCATTTCAGCATTCAAAAGAGCCCAGAGTTTGGATTTCAGATATGTACAGTAAGGAGGCTTGACCTGTAAACCCTAAATCCTCTGAGTATTTTATAAGCTAAAGAAAGTTAGAACTGACACGAACAATCTCTCGCCATACTGAAGTTCTGAGTTTTAAGACATGATGTGTTTTTCTCAAAATTGTTTTACTTTTGATAATTCTGAATAATATTTGATAATACAAATTTAAAGAAAATACAGTTTTCCCAAGAAACAGAAGTCTTTGGGAAAGACACACCCACATATAATCTGCACAATGGAGATGGAGCCCAGGGCCTTGCTTGTGCAGGAAGTCTCCCACCAGAGCTACACCCCATCCAAGCAGAATGCAAAACATTTTTTCCAGACTTAATATCCAAAGGTATAGTTACCATGAACAATTCAGGCTATTATCTTAATGCCTTAAACGCCAAAATCTTCAGATCAGAATAACTGATCAGGGCGCACCAGACCTACAAAGAAAAAAACAAGAATGAGGGAGGATCTTTCTGCATGCTGCATTCCAACACAAGAATGGTTCCAAGAACTGACTGAAAGAAAAACAGACCTCCCAGTCTTGTTCTGCCTTCTGCACCGGTACCTATTTTTCAGCTCTGGAGCACCTGGCCGGGTGGCCCTGCTCTGTGTAGCCCTGGGTTGTGCCGCACAGACCAGGATGGACTACAGGGCAATTAAGGGATGGCTCAGGGTTGAGCTAAGCCACCTGTAGGCGCAGATGACCACACACGCAGATGCCAGCGAGCGACCCTGGTGCCACTATTTCCTGGTGCACATGTAGCCTTGTGTTTTCTTTTTCTCTAGGCTCCTCGACAGACTGACACATGAAGAAAGCTACAGACCTACCGCGCCCAGCAGTTGCCATGGGTGGCAGCAGCTGTTCTCTTTATACACCTGTGTCATGGAGCACACACTTTTAAGACCAGAGTTGAGAAATTTGGGGTTTTTTAAACCTCTATCACTACCCAGAAGCCCAAAGAAATTTAATTTTTTGTGCATGTTAACTCTTACCCCAGGAACTCCCTCCAGAGCAATGTTCTGAAAAACAAAGTTTCACTATATGAACAGAAACCTCACAAAAAATGCGATTTGCTGTGGTGGGCCCTAACAGCTCTTCACAAAATGTACCGTGTGGGGCTCCTAACTGGAGCCCTACTTCCTGAAAACCCTGAGAAGCTCCCTTTCTAGAGAACACTGTCCTACCCAGAGTACCAGAGGGGTTCTCTCCTCAGGGATCATACTGGCTCTGCCTCCTAGGATTGCCCCTGCTCCGGGGCGTGCAGTGGCCCAGAGAGCGGGCAGCACGCACAGGACTTTCCTGAGGGGGACACTTTCTCTGACTGTCACTAACTCCTGGGGCTGGTGGGACTATCGTGCAATGGACCAGAGGGAGGAGTGGCCCGAGTAGTCATGGCAACACACCAGCGTACCCTTTCTTTTTCTTTTCTCTTTTTTGACCACTGGTAATTCTATCACCGCCACCACCACCACCCGCCTTTTTTTTTTTTTTTTTTTAAGTTCTGGGGCCTAGAAACGCGGCAGCATGCTTGCATGGTTTTTTTTTTTTTCTTTTTCCTACAGCGTTGTTCCACTTGCTAAGTTCAGATGAGTCGAACCGGAAGATGGCCGTAGCCAGTATTTCTGTAGGCAGCTGCAGCAGACGAGATGGCCCCAATCACACATCAGCCACCACGCTGTCCCGGCCGCAGTCTCTCCCAGCGCCCAGCTCAGCCAAACTTACATAAGCTTCCCCCAGACACCCGCCACCGCGACAATGGCGCCGCGCGGCTTGCCCGGCGGCGGGCGCGCAACCGGGAGAAGAGGAAGCAGGGCCGGGCGCGGACTCCAAGCGGCCCGGAGCGCGCCGCGCCCTCGCCACCTCCCGGCCGGCGCAGAGGGCCATCTGCGTCTCGGCCAAACAAAAGCTCCGCCTGGCGGGTGCTGAGGACGCTCCCCTCCCCGATCGCCCGCAGCCCGGGTCCGACGCGGGCGCGGAGGCAGGAAGAGCCCGGCGAAGGGGGAACGGGAGGACCGCGGCCCCGGCGGCGCGATGGCTCGGGAGCGGGCGTGTGATCGGCTCCGCAGCCCCGCGCCCGCGCCCCGCGCAC